TAGAAAGCAAGCTGAGCAAGCCAGGGGAAGCAAGCCAGTAAGTAACATCTCTCCATGGCCTCTGCATCAGCTCCTGCTTCCTGACTTGCTTGAGTTCCAGTCCTGACTTTCTTTGGTGATGAACAGCAATGTGGAAGTGTATGCTAAATATGCCCTTTCCTCCCCAACTTGCTTCCTGGACATGATGTTTTTGTGCAGGAATAGAAACCCTGACGAAGACAAAGTGGTAGAAGCCCAAGTTGGTGTGTGAGGACCAGTACCATGGCATCATTGCAATAAGGGTCAGAGGGGTTCTGTCACTTCTCAGCATCCCTGCACATGGAGCTCTCCCAGTCCGAACTCAGAGATAGGAAGGTGGAGACACTGAGATGTGAATGCAGTACATCCAGTTTAAGCTTATCTCCAACTAGCTTACAAATAAATAAGACTCAAACTATGGTTGTTTTATTTGGCTTTGACAATTACTGGGGGGGGGGGTAACCTCTAATCTACTCTTCTAACTGTTGGCCTGGCTACCTCCTCAGCCGTGTACCCCAGATACTTGCTGTTTCTCTTGGCCATGTGCTCTTCATCCATCTCCCCTCATGGCAGCTTCTTCCTCTCTTTCTCTTCTTCCTCCTTCTCCCCCGGTCTCTCCTCCTCCAAATCCTCCCACCTATAATCCCTCCAGTATTTGCCTGTAGCCAATTTTATTTAACCAATAGTTTTAAATCAAGGAACAAAGTTTGAAACAAAAGAGTTTAAACATGAGACGTTATTCGAAGGCCTAGACCTTCAGGTACAGAATTTAGCATTACAATACATAGCAATAGACCAAATCTCAACATGTGAACCTACAGAAGTATGCTTCAACTCAAAGATGAAGACCAAAGATGATTGCAGAGATGGCAAAGCCCCCAGGAGGAGTAAGTAACTGAACTTTGGGTCTTGTTTGGGAGAAAGATTTTTTAATTTTATGTGTATGAGTGTTTGCCTGTACATATGTCGATGCACCATATACATGCCTAGTGCCACAGGAGGTCAGAAGAGGATATTAGATCCCCTGTAACTGGGGTTACAGATGGTTCGTTCCATGTGAGTGCAGGAAACCAAACCCGGGTGCTTTGGAAGATCAGCAAGTGCTCTCAGCTGCAGAACTATCTCTCCAACCCCAGAAAATAGATTTTAAAAGAATTTTATAAGACAAGAAATGAAAGTGTTCTATGCAAAATATGATAGTGAATATGATGTGGACACAGTGTCTACATCCATGGCGTCAAGTTATAAGTCTGGAGTCCAGTCAACCTGTGTTGGAGGTTGTAAGTATTGTTAAAATAAATAAATAAATAACTGAAAGACTCAGTCAATCTTGATACAGTTTCTATACCAACAATGAGAATTTGCCTGAAAGGATTTTTGAATTTCACCCCAAGACCCAATCAGAAACCCAGAAATGACTGTGAGGCAGGTCAACTGGGCAAAGCTGTTTTATCTGTCATCTGCTCTGTTCAGTTCCCTTGGGAACTAGAGATGCTTTGGCTTCCTTTCGTCTGCTGATAGGCACATAGCAGTTCTACAAGAAACCTAAGGAGATGCTGTCAGAGTTCATGCCCCTCAACAACAGTGTCCACTGTGATGACTGAGTGTCTGGGTAGCAGAGATGGAACAGGATCACCCAGAAATCACTATAGGGAAATATTAGCCAACTTCCAACCAGTTATTTGAACAAGGAATTCAACTGCTAGTTTTTTTGTTGTTTGTTTTTTGGGGTGAGTGTGTGTGTGTGTGTGTGTGTGTGTGTGTTTGGTTTTATTTATTTGTTTGTTTTTAATTCACTTTTAAAGAGGTTCTATTTTCCCTTTCTGAAGATGCTATGAACGCTTGATCAAACAAGAGAATTTTCTTCCAGTGACAAAGTTTTACAGCACTCCTGCAGAGAGTTCTAAAACTCAACTTCAAATCAGTTCCTCTTTATCTTTTTAAAAGTTACATTATATTACTTATTTTTAAGTTAAAATCACAAATTGTATTTATTGAGTACCTTGTAATTTTTCAGTGAATGTATACACACCTGCTAAATGTTCCCTGTCTCATCACAGTAAAAAGTGTTTCTCTCCTTTTCAAGGGATTGAGCCAAGTTGGCCTCAAATTCACAGTGATTCTCCTGCCTCACCCTCCCAAGTTCTGGTATTACTTGGGGTTGGGGGAGGGGGAGGAGGCCCATTCAGCTAAAAGCAATTCCTTTGAAAGGGTCCTGTTGGGTTGACAATCTGTATTCTCTTATTTTGAGGAACAACTATGATAAAGGCCAGTCCCTCTGCAGCCCACCCATGTTTCTGTCACAGCTCAAAAGAAGCAGAGTTTCCCAATCTCCAGGGAATCTGTGCTTAGCAAAGAGAAGCAATAGACTAATGTCTACAGGTCAGGATGCTCTCGGTATATGAATGTCTCTGAATAGAATTCACTTAGCAGGATAAAACCATCTTAATCAGCAATGTGGGAAAAGAATGTTTTTGTTCCTGTAGGCTAAGCCACTGGGTGATTTCTATTCAAATCTTCTGGGATTTAAAACGAAATATTAGTCTTTTTTCTTTTTGGAAGTAATGGTATCCACAAGCTCTAACACTACAGAGTTAGGTCCTGTCTTCTCCTTTTTTCTCCCTGCAAGGCTTTTCCTCTCCCATCATGTGAACCCTATAAGCATTTATACTGCATAAAGTAACAGTTGTAGGTCATTCTGACATTGCTTGGATCCCTTTTAAGAAGAATGTTTGACTTGAAAGCATCGGGGGTGCTTTTTAGTGCTATTATCACTGCAAATGCAGTGACTGGGGGGGGTCTAATCTCTCTCACAGTGGGCAGAAGGCATTCAATGTCAATCATTCAAGCATTCAGAAAGAATCGTCTGCATTTTCACTTTCTACTCCCATCTCTGGAGTCCAGAGCAGCAGAACCCTGAAAGAAAGGAGTTCACACACAGGACAGTAAGGACCAACTGTCAAGAGCCTCATCTACATGTTCTAGTAGAAGGCTGGAAACTTCAAACCATAGAAACCATGAGGAGCACCCTTCCAATGTCATTATGTAAAATACTTTCATTTAAATTTATTGTACACTTCAAAATAGCCAGAAATTGGATTTTTTTAATGCTCTCAGCACAAGGAAATGCTAACCACTCCAGACTATGGGTTTGCTCATTAGCCTGATTTGACTCTATTTACACTTTATTGAATATCAACATAACACACAATACCCTTAAATATGTACAACAATCATGCGTCAATTACAAATAATTTAAAGTTAACAATTATTTTAAAATTCATTTTCTCAATAGCCAGAAGAACATATTAAGTCAAAACAATTGTAAGAAGAGAATTATCCATTTAATAAGAGTTCTCTTTTGTCTTTCACCAGTTTTTACTTGTGGCCAATAGAGCAACGGAGTTATTGGTATAATAAATTTAAAGAAAAATAAATGAACAAATGAATGAGAACCTCTCCCATCCCCACACTTTTATGGTGGTCTGTGCCTTCCTTCTGCTGCTGTCTGGGGCACCCCTGACCTCTGCTCACTGATATGTGGAGTTCTTAATGCGGGTAAGACAGAGCTTTCCGCAGAGCTGAGCCGTGCTTTCTAGCACTGCATTATCGTGCTCAGCTACACACAGACACGTAAACTCACTGACAGCGGACATTGATCTGGTGTTGACTAGCAAACAGGTTTGTAATTCCCAAGTGCAGCAAAATCCTTGGCTGGGGAAGAGATGTTTGGCTGAAAAGCCAGTGTATGGCTGACAAGGAAAACATGCAAGAGGCAAGAGAATGGGCCCCATTTTCCCTGTAGCTAAGACAGGGAGGAGTTTGCCTTTGTATGGGCAAGATGCTCCATTTTCAGAGGCTATTTACTTTTTGATCTCCAACATACATGGATCTCCAGTCTTATTTTTCTAAGAACTTTTGAGAGGGGGGAGTTTAGGAGGAGGAGGGGGAGGGGAGAGGGAGAGGGAGAGAGAGAGAACCATGTAACCATGTATATGCAGGTGTCCACAGAGGACAGAAGAGGTCATCAGGTTTCCTGGAGTTGGAATTATAGGTGGCTAGTGAGCTGAACTTTGGTCCTCTCAAGAGTAGCAAATTCTTTTAACTTCCGGGACATGTCTCCAGCCCCAAGATAAAAAATAAAATAACATAAAATAAATAAAAATCTTAATTTTTCTCAAACTCAGCTTTGTGGGTCATAATGCATTCTGGTATGTCCATACTTAATACCTGTAAGACAAGAACTAATTCAGTTTTTGTTACTAGAACGTGGAAGTCCTGAAGGTTGAAACGTCATTATTTCTAGAGTTTACTTGTAAATGGTAGGTAGCAAGGAAAACATAGGTAGAACTGAGACAATGTGACGAAGTACAACTGATTAAGAACGGAAAGTAGCCAGATGTTCATGGTACTGTGGGGTCAACATTTCTGTAAGCTTGACATCTTTCAAAGTAGAAAAACAAAGAGATGTAGAAGGGAAAAAAATAGAGTACTAGTGTCTGTGCCTGGATAGGCAGTGAGTGCACTTGCTGTCTCTAAGCCTCTTCTGGAGAGACCCACCACACCCTGCCTCCTATGCTCCCAAATGGTTTAGTGATCTTTAGCTGTAATAAGATGTCAAGGAATTTACAAGTCTTTGAGTCCTGCTGGGCACAAGAGATTGTGGATGGACTTTAGGAGGAATCAAGACATCCCTAGGCCACTGGGCCACGCCTCCAACTGTCCAGATCTTAGCCAATCAATGTGGGCACACCCACCTCACTGTTACATATGTATGACCCTGGCTGGCCTCCTGCCTTCTTTTCTACCCCCAGCACCAGATGTAGCAGGCAGGCATTTGCTCCTGCTTCTGAGGGAAGAGAGCAGGTCAACTCTGCAGGCCTCTTTCAGACAGCTCATTTGGAACAGACCCCTGCCTGCAAACTCAAGACTTTTCAATTCTCTGGCTATCCCTAGGGACCACTGGCTGCAGACCAGGCCTCATGAAAACCTCAAAGGCATCCCAGCGCTACAGAAGCATCCGGAGAAATGCCAGCCAGTGCTATCTCTACCAGGACTCCCTGCTGCTTGGGTGAGTGCCCTGCTGGGTTCTCCAGTGCAGAAACTTACTTCTCTGGGGTCATGTGGAACTGGGGTGAAGACCACAGCAGTGTTCAGAGAGGAAGGCAGCTGCAAGCGCCTGCCCCAAATCCTGTATCCTGCGCTTATTTTGTTGCCCGCCAATTCGACACATGGGCTTCATCTGCTTCTCCCTGTTTCCTCAATTGCTTGTGTCAGGAGAGAGCAGACATCTGCTACCTCTGATAAATCAGGTGTCTGCTGGAAAACGCTTCCGATAACAGAGAAGTGGGAAGGATGGGAACTGAGCGTCTTAGGTTTTTATTGGGAATATTTTCTGTTAAATACTGAAACCTCCTCTGACTCTAGAGAATTTTTTTTTTGAGGAAATAAAAGACATCCTGATCAAAATGAGAGAAAATGTGTTCTCTTGCGAAAGCCATAGATTGTTTATCTCCTAAAAAATTATTGAGCTACATATTAAGTATTACTAGGGAAGAACTGCCCTGTTAAATGTTGAAAAATTGTTCTTCTACACAACAGCTATGCCCTGAAGGAGTTTACTCCATGCAATCATTTAACTCTTTCTTGTTGTTGTTTGTAAAAACCACTGCCTGCATCTACATCTCTTGTCTTGTGTTTAAAGTGAACACAAGCGAACAGAGAGGAGTCTCCAGGAGACACAGGCTTGCGTTTATTTCTTTTACCTTTAGAGTGGGAGAAGGAGGAATTGTGTCTCTAAGCTTCGCTTGTCACCTCAATGAGCCTATAGATGACATTGTGTCCCTTCTCAAAACTACTACTCCTCGAGAGTAGAATCAAACTCGGAATTCCTCTTCTCCTCTCTCCTTTGCTGTCTCTTGCCTTGAGAAGTCATTCTTTTTCACTGACCACTGAGGTGATAGAATCCCACATATGAGTTTTTAAGGACTGCTGACACTACCAAATTCTGTCAGTCTATGGACACACACACACACACACTATACAGATGACCCCGTGAGATGCAGAAGTTACGCAAGAAAGATGTCCTTTGCTGGAAGCAATTCTGTAATCAGATTTCCTCCATGATGACCGTTTTCCATTCAGTAACTCGGATGACAGCTTTAATGCTGATGAAACAGGGGACAGCAGTGATCCAGAACAAATCTTCCAGAATATACAGTTTCAGAAAGACCTCATGGCAAATATCCGCTGCAGACCCTGGACCATGGGGCAGAAGCTTCGGGCACTGAGGTAAGGAAGGGCCTCCACAGCAATCACTGATAAGAGTGAATATGAGATCCAAGAACTGTGACACATCTTACATCTGACTCAGAGAAGTGCCAAAGATGCTTGAGGGGACCATCTAGACATAGCTGTTACAGAGCTTGCGAGTGTGCATATGTGCTTGTATGCTTGTGTGTGCGTGTGTGTGTACATGGATGTGAATGTGGTCTCTGTGTGTGGTTTGTGTGTGAGACTGTGTGTGTGTGTGGTGTGTGTGGTGTGAGTATACACTTATGTGTGTGGTATGCGCATATACACATCTATGTGTGTGTGTGTATATGTGTAGTGTGTATACACTTATGTGTGTAGTGTATGCATATGCACATCTCTCTCTCTTTGTGTGTGTGTGTGTGTGTGTTGTATTGTATTGTGCTGTGGTAGACAGTTTGGAGTTCACAATCTCTGTTCCAAACACTAGATTTTCACATTGTCTCTGAACTCACAGGAGACAGAGTGAGAGCCAGAATCAAAGAAACATCCACTTCACTTCCTTGCTTTTATCTCCCTCAGGAAGGAAATCTCTTCAGGAAGCCAGGTTATTAGGATATTTTGAGTCTATTAGAGAGTCTCTCAGTCACAGTTAAGTGCTTATACTTTGAAGGCAGATTCCCTCCCTGAATTCAAATACTACTTCCTCAGATCTCTAGCTGCTTGATATTGGACAAGTTCCCTAACCTCTTTAGATGTGGGTCCTCTGGTTAAAGCTGAAGTGATGGTAAACAACGACTCATATCTCCTGCAACAGCGTTGCCAAAAATGTCAACAGCTAAGCTAAGTGTGCCTTCAAAACCACTACCTGTGCCGTCTCTCAAACCCAGAACCAAGTGGAATGGGAAGTGAACCCAGCCTCCCTTGTCCTCTCTCACCGCTCATCTCTGGGACACTGGGAATAGAATCCAATGCTGGGCACACAATAGCCCATACTCCACCACTGAACTATTTTCCTGGTCCCCAGCATTTTAAATATTCAATTCAGCTTGATCCTTTTGGCAAGTCAAGTCTGAACTTTGGGAGATTAAGCTTACTGAACAATGGATATGCTAAGGATTGTGGGTGCTAGCTTTGTGTTCAATATGTGATATTCACACCTAAGAATGGGGGTGACTGTCACAGACCCCATAAAGGGTATTGGTGGCATAGTCTTCATAACCCATGTAACTGAGCTACCGTGAACCAGGAGTGTGCATTCCTGGGAAAGCAGCCCCCATGCCTGATGTTCAGGCACCTACTGTGTGCCCAGAACTTCTGTCATACCTTGCTCTTCAGGGTGGTTTTTCTAGATGCCAGTGTGTATTCCTTTCATACTCCCATCTATTGGACTTGTAACTCTTCCTATCAAATCATCCCTTTCTGAGATTTGAGTCCAGGTCTAACCAACATGACCTTCAGGCTAAAGGCATCCACACTTTCATCTCAGATGGCTGCAGTGGATTCTGCTCTGCTCACTTTCTGAGTCTGTTTCTGGCTCTCATCGATTCTATCCTTTGCACAGCACTTTGCCCACTTTTCAGATGAGAAGACTGATGGAGACATTAATAGAGCAGTCTGAGCAAATGCCACCTGTGAATATGTAAAGCTGTGGCAAGCTCAGCTTTAAATGAGACACTCCAATCCTAAGTCCAGGGTCTCTCGTGTTAAACCATAGAGATTTTTATGTCATTTTTGGAGTGAGTCATTTAAAACTTTCAAACACCATTCAGAAATGTCAGTTTTTATCTGAGTAATGGAAAGTTAAACTGTGTGTGTGTGTTTGAGAGAGAGAGAGAAAGAGAGAGAGAGAGAGAGAGAGAGAGAGAGAGAGAGAGAGAGAGAGCTGACCTGTGTGTGTGCACTAGTAGAAAGGACAGGGGTCAACACCAGGCATCTTCCGCTCCTCTCCTCCTTATTCTTTGAGGAAGAGTCTCTTACTGAGCCTGGAGCTCCCTATTCCAGCCAGACTAGCAGGTCTGTCAGTTCTCAATACCCTGCCTCTTCACCCACTCACCGTTCCCAGCTTTTACCTAGACTTGGTATCCAACGTCAGTTTTCCAACCTCAGTTTTCCATGCTAATACAGTAAGCGGTTTACTCACTTTGAGCCATCCCCCCAGCCCCAAGATAAATCCTTATAATATTGAGACAAGAACAGAATACCTGCTTGCCATTCTTTCAGGTAACTTCAGGAATAAAACACAAATCCAGGTGTCTGGTGAATTCAGTCACACCTTCTGACTTACCAGCGCTCCAAAATGTCAGACACAGCCCATTCCTCAAGCTGGCAGCAAGGTTCCTTTGTCATCCCCTTGTGACCTACATCTCTTGCCCTTTACCTTGAAAAGCTCCACTTCATTCATTGGACCTGTAGAGGCTGATCCTGGTGTCTGCATAGGGTGCAGAAGGCACTGAACCCTGACTGCTTAGAAACCAGGAGGGACACCACAAGCAGCGCTAGCTGTCTGTGAGGACACGGCACACACTCGCTTCCTGATACGGGGCCTGTGGGATGTGTACCTCCCATTCATCTCTCCACACCTCTCCCCCTCCACCATGGAGCCCACTCTTCTCCATCACGGTATCTTGGCATATATCTGGGTCATATTTACTAAGTAGGGAGCCTTTCCAGGACAACTGTTTTCTTCATATCTGTATTCCACTGTCCTTGACCCAAAAGAAAAGTGCAGAAAATACATGCAGGGAACAAAGTTACAAATGAGACTATGAAATCACTTTCTATTTTGACTTTTGCAGTATTTTTAATTTGTTTTTTACAAATGCTTGCTGTATATATGGATAGAGGCTGCCTCTCGTTGTTTCTGTACTTGTTCTGTTAATCAGAGTCAGTGTGTATGGTATGCTACAATAATGAAAGACTTATTGAGTAGGTAGGAGGATGGGTCAGTTCAAGGCTATCCTTGGCTGTATAGCAAGTTCAAGGTCATCCTGGCCCATACACATGACACAGTCTCAAAATAGTGAGACAGGTCTAAAACTCAGAATTTGGTAAAGGAATGATTTGGGGAGGTCACCTTTTCTGTAGAAACAGGAATTGCCTTATCTCTTGTGTTTCCTAAAGGACTTACCTCCAGTGGGTATTATCAGGAGGGTTTGGGAAAGGCACATACAGGAATAGCCTATTAAACAGACTTACAGTCAAACCAATGACCTGACTGACTGAGAGGAACTTTAACAGTGACTGAGAGCTCTTTAACAGTGAGTGTAATCCAACAGAGAAGCTGATCATCAGGTAGGGTTGAGTGTCTCTGCCTTGGGGTTGTGTGTCATTGGGTTATTTGAATAGTGTGCATCTCTAAGAGCCTCTGATATCAGCCCGGCCCATAGTGTTAACCCCTACATTCAATCTTGTTATTCACTGAGTTATTGTTTTAACCATAACTTTCCCGATGGATTCAGTCTATTGTGTGAATCTACATAGGCGTGTGTGTGTGTGTGTGTGTGTGTGTGTGTGTGTGTGTGTGTTGTGAGAGAGAGAGAGAGAGAGAGAGAGAGAGAGAGAGAGAGAGAGCAGGTACATATCTGTGTACACACCAGAAGCTAGAGGACAGCCTCTGGGACCATGCCTCAGGACTCTTTCCACCTCATTTACTGAGACAAGGCTTGTCTGGTACTTGCCTCACCAAGCAGGCTAGGTTGGCTTACCTGTTCCCAGTACTGAAATTCCAAGTGGTCACCATCACACCTGGATTTTTATGTAGATTGTGAAACTGAACTCATGTTTTCATGCTTGCAAGCAAAGCATTTTATTAAGTCACTCATTTCTCCAATTTCAATTTCTGTCTATTTTTAAAGATCCAGGTAGTGGTGGCACAAGCCTTTCATCCCAGCACTCAGGAGGCAGAGACAGGTAGATCTCTGAATTTGAAGCCAGCCTGGTCTACAGAATGAGTTCCAGGACAGCCAAGGCTACATATGGAAACTCAGAGAGAGGGGGGCATGGAAGAAAGGAAAAGAAAGAAAAAAAGGCAAAACATTGAAATGGAGATCTCAGGTCAACTCAATAGAGTGATCAGTGTGTCAAGATGGATTGGGTTCATGGCTTGTATACACACAACTTTGTTACACTAACTAACTTCACATCATTCCTTCCTTGAAGCAGAGTCCTTGAAGGTAGGTATGGCTTTACTACTAAAGAACTGACTAGACAGCTGGAAAGACAGTGAGCTTCCAGAGAACCTGGGTCAAATCCAGCACACACATGGCAGTTTGCAGTGGTTCATAACTCTAGTCTCAGAGATGTAACTCCCTGCCCTTCACTGGCACTGCATTCATGTGGTGCACAGATATCCATGCTGGCAAACACTCATTCACATAAGATAGAAATACAGTCTCAAGAAATGTAATAAAAGGAAATGTCCGGAAGAGGCAAGCTGTCAAACAAAGGAGCTAAGATACAGTAGCTGCTATCAGAATGCCCAAAGTCTGTGATCCCAGCCAGCCTCCAGCCTAGGACGCACTTGGACAAAGTAACTGGTGTGAATCTATTCTTTCCAATTATTAGTTCATCCACATAAATGAAAAGACAGTTTTAAGGGGTGTGTGTGTGTGTGTGTGTGTGTGTGTGTGTGTGTGCATGTACAAATGTCTGTGGAGGTTGCAAGAGGGCATCCAATCTCCTAGAACTGGAATTATAGGTGTCGAACAGAACTTCGGTCCTTGAAAGAGCAGTAAGCACTCAATTCCTGAGCCATCTCTCCAGTCCCTTAAAATAGTTTTAAAAGTATTTATTTTATTGTTATCAAAGGACAGGAAATGAAATTTTTGAATTCTACTCCTGTATCATTTGGTGTTCCTTTCCTGCTTCGGTAAAGTTGGGTCACTTTACGTTTTTCTTCTCTCAGACGAGCAAAGGAGATTGTGCTGAAGTTCGAAGGCAGGCTGACTAGAACTCGAGGCTATCAAGCAGCAGGAGCAGAGGTAAAGAGTACGAATGAGGCATGGCGGGCCTCCTTACTGGTTGTCTCTGAAATCCATCACTGTAGTCCTCACACATACTTAGAAGTATCCACCATTAACAACCATAGAATATCGATAAGTCCACAAGTTCAACCACCACCAAACCTGGATCTCAGCCCTGAGTACCACCAGTTATCAGTTGTATAGTATAAATAAGTCAGCCTTCCTGGCTCAGCCCCATCAGTGTGCTTCACTTGTTTCATCCCTGTATCTGAATTACTGCAGCACTCACACCCACAGTGACTTAGGCAAATCCCAGCTTTCATCTAATAGTCCAAGCTAGGGGGTGGATTAGCCTCTTTCCTTACAGATAGCTGAAACTAAACCTGAGTATATTATGAAATTTCCCATTGTCAACAAGGTTTCATGTCTTCAAAAAACACAAATAAAAAAAGAAAACATGCCTATGCCTACTTATCCCCAATTTAGTATCTTTCTTAAAAAGCTATTTTAATTTTAAATTCCATTTAATGCCATTAGATTGGCTTTTTAGACCTTGACTCAGTCCAGGTTCTCTGGTCTTCTGCTGTGGGGGTTGGAGGCAATCATCAGAGAAGCATGGCATATTTTTCCCATGCCTTCCTTAATGATGGTCATCAATAATCACCTTTTCCAATCATATCTGTTTCTATTATTATCATATGCTAGTTATGTATACATGGGTCTCACTGTTAGATTTTCACGCATGTACACGAAGACTTTGGATCATAGTTATCTACCACTACCCTCTTGTCCCCCCTTTTTCTCCCATTGATCCCCTTCATGTCCCTGGATAGGCCCTCTACTCTTTTGTCTGCTTGCTGTCTGTTCATAAATTAACAAGTTTAATTAAGTTCACTTACATGACGAACATGGGTTGGGAGTTATTTATGGAAGCACAGGCAACTTCCCAGTAGCAATATCATGGAAGACAATGTCACATACAACCCTTCACCTCTTCCTCTGGCTCTGAAAAGCCCTTCTACATTACCAAATACTACATAAGTATGGGGAATCTGGCTTTTCAAGCCTCACACTGGTAGGGAAATTGCATCTCTCGCCTATAGAGCTACCCTGAGTTAGCCTATTTTGTGTGCTGAAATCCTCAATTAAAAATTAAATTAAAAATTAATTAAAAATGGGACAAGACTGGGTGCTACTCACCCCAGAAATCATTAACTGCCTATAGATAGATGCCAAGAGAGAGAAGCAGCCTCTTGATGTCCACTCCATTAGCAGTCTTTAGTTGTCTGTAAATCCTGGAGGAGGGGCAGGAGCTGGTTAAAGCCTTCCTTCCTCCTCCAGTGCTAAGGTAAGCACCATTGCTAAGAATGAGAGTGCAGTAAGCATGCTGTGCCTGGAAGACAGCATCCCACAACTCTCCACCCCTTCCTCTACCTCTAGGAAGCCCTTCTAGGCAAAGCTGTTATTACCAAAGACCACATAAGTATAGAGAATCTGGCTTTTCAAGTCTTACATCTCTCACCTACAGAGCTAGCCTATTTTGTGCACTGAAATCCCTAGACTATTAAATGGGGAGCAGACTGGATGGCACTCACTGCTCCTTCTACAGATAAGCCACTGGCTGCCCATGGAAAGAAAAGAACTTTCTGGGGGCTCATGGCAAGGCAGATGTACAATGAAAACTAGAGTGTAGACTTTTCCTGTGCCTTTTTGACTTTAGGGCTTTAAAGCAGTGAGGAGAGTCGATGTTTGCTAAACCCAGGCCTTTGCTGAAGGATGCTTGAGCATTCCTGCCTCTGGGGATCAGAAAGCTTGTATTTTCTGGGCAGATGATGCCAGGCAGACATAGAAATTTGCAAGAGAGGCCAGTGACCCTAACAAGGAGAATTCAGAGACAGACATATTTCTTCCTGGCTACTCATATGCAGTCTGTATGATTGCTCACAGGAATCTTGTCTGTCTTTGACTTAGTTCTTAAATCATGAGCTAAAGACAATTCGAACTTCTGATAAAACTCAGACTTCCATGTGCAGGCAGCTGTCTGGCCTTAGCAGATCCATCCAAAATGACATTATCCTGTGAGTCTGTGTCAGGACCGTGTGCTGTCTTACAGTTGGGAATGCCGTAATTACATTTGTGGCTCTTCCTTGTGCAATGATATCATTTGCTTCCAACACAACCCCGGACTGTTTGTGTGTTAGAATGCACAACCTTCCAATTTTGCTGGAGAGCAGAGCCGACACGGGCCACATTCTGCTTTACTCTCCTTTGAGAAAAAGAGTAATGATTTCATACTTTTGGCAGTTGTGTAAGTCCACAGACAAAATTCCCAAGCTTATTCCTGGCAGCTTCAGCCAGGACAGGGGCTCAGATATATCTTGTAGATCACAGATGCACCTGGAATGGAGCTGATTTTCAAGGAAGATTCTAGATTTTTGGTCTCTGAACTGGGATGCAGGTAGAATCCTCTGGGGGAACTGGTGAATCAGATCGATTCCGAGGCTCCACTCACAGAGCTACTAGGGGTCAGTGGCTGGGTCAAATGAGTATCTTGAGATATCATCCCTAATGAGACTTCTACTTTCCTAGTCCTCAACCCATGAATAAGGCAGACTGTGACCCAAAAAATTATAGATCACAGGGCTGTTATGTAGCTCAGTTGGTAGAATGGTTGCTAAAGATGTGCAAAGCCCTGGTCTCAATTACCATCACATTAACTGGCTGTGGTGAGTCCACTTGGGAGGTAGAAACAGCAAGATCAGAAGTTCGGGGTAATCTTTAGGTACATAGTGAATTTGAAGCCAGCCTGAAATTCATGAGATTCTGCTTCCAAAATGGAATGCAGACCCCATAGCTCAGAGTGCAGACCAGATGTATACCACCTGGTCATGACTCAGGGAAGATAGGGGCTACTTTGGTTTTAGAGATGCTTAGTAGTCTGAGAAACTATAATTAAAGGTTCTATGAATGTGTCCAAGATCCCCTCCTCTACCCAGAATCCACCCCAGAGCCCTATGTATTACCAAGGTTATAAATGAGAAGTTGTCTAATCGTGGCCTCTCCTGTCTAGCTCTGGCGGAAATTTGCCCGTCTGGCCTGTAACTTTGTGGTCATCTTCATTCCCTGGGAAATGAGGATAAAGAAAATTGAGAGTGAGTATCCACTGGAGGACTGCAGGGGTGATGTGCAACTGTGACCAGCACACAGCCTGAGATGTCTGGTGAGCCTTGGCCATCAAGGTGTAGAGTCAGCCTAGGAACAGAGCTAGAGGCTCTGTTCTTTGGGACTGACTCAGAGATAGAAGACCTGATGTCCTCCTACCTCCCAGGATGGAAGAGTCCCCATGCTGCCCTTCTACATTCCCCCATGGCTCCGAGTTCACTTCTAGTACATTCATCCACTCAGATAGCAAACTCTGAACAATCAGTGAAAAATTGCCAGGGTAAGTAAGATGGTAACTTCAAGATACAAACATGAAAATATGTGTTTTTATAGAAAAGACTGTAAGAATTTAGAAAATACATATTAAAAATAAATTAATCATACACCAAATCTCTTTCTCCTCCCCCACACACAGAAGAGTGAACAAATATTTTAAAGTCATAATGTGAAGAAAACCATGAAGTTGGAGCCAAGATGGTGAGGTTCTTGTGAAGAGACATGGCTGCATTTATTTCAAGTTGTAGACTTTCCCAAAAGTCAGTTCCCATGTTTAATGCAATTCTACAAATATTCTTAACGTACTGCTTAGAGTTCATGATCAAATGATTAGAAAATGCAAGAAGAAAAACATCCAAGAGATAAATTGGGAGGTAGGAGTAAGAAAGTATTCTCAAGAAATCGCATAACTAAAAGGTTAAAATAAAAATACACGATTAAATGCTAAGCAACCAAACAGCAGCGTAGCATATCACAGTGCAGGAACTGACCAACATTAAAAGGAATAGGCAAACATTTTAGAAACAGGAATGTATCCTGTTGTTACTTCTGCATCCACTTGTTACTGGAGTCAATAGAAATCACTCTGTAGATTCAGCAGTTTCAAAGAGTAAATATAGTCCTGTCATTTTAATAGTCTATTAAATATATGAATGTACAGTCAGAAATCATGAAAATCATTAAAGAAGATATAATAGATAAAATCTCAGCAGGGATACCTGTTTAATCGTAAAAAAATGAAGCAGGAAACTCTCTAGAAAAACTGCTTTCTAATTTAACTACTGGAAAATACTTTTTAAAGGTTTGTTTATTTTCAAATGTATGGATGTGTCGCCTACATATATGTCTGTGCACCACATGTGTGTACTGCCCTCAGAGGCCAGCAGAGAGTGTCTGGAAGTGGAGTTACAGATGGCTGTGAGCTACCATAGGGGTGCTGAGAGTCATACCAAGTCCTCTGTAGGAGCAGCTAATGTTCTTACCCGCTGAGCCATCTCTCCAGCCTCAGAAAATAGATTTCATATACATAAAAAAAATCAAGAGCTAGATGGGAAGTTAGAAAAATCATTTTGTTATTTCAGTGGAGTTAAATTCTCTCTTACCTTTAAGTTGAGAGGAAGTGTGTGAATATGGAACATTACAGACTTTCTATATACCCTTTATCTGGCTTTTCCAGTTCATTCCACAATAGTTTACATGTTAAAATTAAGACAAAGGACCTTAGAAAAACTTTGGAAAGTAATGTAAAGTAATGCAACCCATCACAGTATATAAAAGTCTCTTAACACATGAATTAGTAAGTTTGACTCAACATATTCAAATGGGTAGAACACGGGGGAGATTGTCAGTGTTTTGGTCAACTAAAGCTGGTCTTTCTGTATATAGAACCAGAGGCCAGGCACAGGATACTGAACCAGCTAAGCAACCAACGGTGGGGGCAGTGGGAGGCACCATATGAAATCACTTTTCCTGTGTTTGTTGCTGCTGAAAGTGAGTGACAAGGCTCTCTGTGTTGTGAGGGCTGAGCAGAACCACTCTCTGTTGTCTTTCCATAGGTCACTTCGGATCTGGTGTGGCCTCCTACTTCATCTTCCTGAGGTGGTTATTTGGAATTAACATAGTGCTCGCAGTGATGACCGGTGCTTTTGTTGTCCTTCCAGAGGTAAGAGTTGTCCCAGGAGCCACCCTGGAGGTGCAAGGCCTGAGGGAGAAGCAGGTGCTATAACCTGCTGCCCTCACTGTTACACTAGGAAGGCTAGAAGAACATGGAAAGCTTTGTAAAAGAACACAGGGTATGTATCAGACTTAGTCACTGCTACACAAAGTGGCCATATGTCTCAAAAGAAGGTTTGAGCATGGCAGAGACCAATAAGAGAAGCTAAAATCTGAATTTCATATCATGAATGTACTTTTTCTTTTGATTATTTTTCCCAACAGCTCAATGATGTAAAAACCATTCCTATCCATGTCTCTCGGGCCATTCAAGAAGTGGTGACAGAGTGTATTTGGCCCATGTAATAATTTATCTACCCAGTATTCCAAGTAAACTCTGTCCTTAGAGACAAATAGAGCCATTCTTGGGTATAAGAGGTCCAGGGACCTCAATGATTTAGCCACAGAAGCCACTATTTCTTTCAAATGGGTTTACACAGTAACAGTGCAGGCAGGCACATATCAGACGAAGCAAAACTCAGGCACATATTAATTTCTTCTTGAAGAGAATCAAGCTAAAGTCTACCACAATCCCTAGAGATACCATTGGGGCATTTCAACAGACACATGGGGATCCACCATTCCTTTTATCGGGTCCCCCTAGCCCAGAGAAACACATCTACCTCTTCTCTCTCACCAGCTAATCGCAGGCCAGCCCTTTGGAAGTACAGCCAGCAAGACCATCCCCCAGGAGCAGGTCATGTCTGCACAGGACCTGGACACTGTCTGGTCCCTGGGGGTAAGGCTAATGTTGACTACACCCAGAGCTTAAGGGAGAGCTGAAAGGGCCACAGTTCTGGGATCTATGAATCAGAAACAATTTGAATGCTCTCTTTGCAGGGCTACCTTCAGTACTCCGTCCTATTCTACGGATACTACGGAAGAGAGAGGCGGATCGGGAGAGCAGGCTACCGCCTGCCCTTGGCGTATTTCCTGGTGGGGATGGCAGTGTTTGCTTACAGCTTCATCATTCTCTTAAAAAAGTATGACTGTCTGTTTCTCAAGACCATGTCAGAAGTTAGGTTAGAACATGTGCAACCTCACCTCCTGCCAATAGCCCTATTGAACTTATGAGTCACTAGAGCCATTTTGTAAGGAAGAGACCAAGACTCAGAGTTATACTAAGTTTATCCAGCACTTACTGTATGCTGACTACTTTGTGCAAGGCTCTCTGAGAGGTCTAGTTGAGACAATGCCATAGCTTCACTAATAAGATATAATCAATGACATCAAGGTGACTAGAGGTGGGAGAATGCACACAGCTTGTGTGTTTATCTGCGACCAATGGCAAAACATGCCACTGATGCCTCCTGTTCATCATCGGGAGGTGGTCACAGTATAAAAGAAAGAAAACTGGCTAGAGTTACAAGTCCTGCAATGTACCACTATGAGTTGGTGAGCTCCACCAACTTCACCTAGAGTCCTATGGCAGCTCACTTTTCCTCTGTGCACACATTGGCTCAGAAAGGTACCAGGTTTCCTTCCAAGCTAGCCTTCTACACTTCCGTGTAAATAAAGCTAGGGAGTTGGGGCTGTGGGGTAGATTCACAGTTGACAAAGCAGCACATGGAGAGCCTGGCCTTGTCTCTTGCCTTTGGTCTACTTTGCTCTTTCACCATTGCCACGCCCCCTATTGCCCAGGCAGCAAAGTGCACTTCAAGGTGCTTATCAGAAACTATATAAAAATAAATAGGCAAACCTTCAAGAGATATAGAGTGACTTGTAAGGGTTCTTCCAATGCCTGACAGCTCCCCAACTTAGCTCCTGGTGGCCTCAAGGCCCCTCCAAAACAATTTCAGTCCTTTACTGGATGTTAGTCTTTTAAAGTAACTCAGAGCAGGTGAGAGAACAAGAGATGTAACTGGGGAAGGAAGTCAAGGCTTATTACTGGAGAGATGGCCTAAAGGATGGAGACGGGGACCTCCTGCCTTCAAATATGTGAGTGTCATGTGCAGGAGAGACTCAGCAGTTTTGGGAATCACATGGGGAGAAGTTACCATAGGCAGAAGCTTCAGGAACACAGCTTCAGCCCAGAGAGCAGGTGAAGAGTTTACCATCACAGCTGCAGACATGAGACCTCCTGGGACAAACAAACCTCGATGGCTGCTGACTGCCATAGTGCTGGTGGTATGGTATCACATGATGGATTCATGTGATAATTACCATTCATATCCACACAGGTAAAGGATGGGCTGAGAGTCCAAGTATGGTTAAAGTCCAGCCAGTGTTCCACTTGCCAAGCAGGAACTAAGGAGTTATGTCAGAGGATCACTTTGCCCAGGTCCCACAAAGCCTCCATGTCAGGTTTTGGCACCTTGGAGGAGGTGATCCCATCCCTGAGACATGCTCCTGTGACCTCACTGGGGCCTCTCTTGCAGAATGGCTAAGAACTCCCGAACCAGCTTGGCCAGTGCTTCCAATGAAAACTACACCTTCTGCTGGAGGGTGTTTTGTGCTTGGGATTACCTCATTGGGAACCCAGAGGCTGCAGAAAGCAAAACAGCTGCCATCCTGAACAGCATTAGGGTAAGTGAAGGAGGTGCTATGGAGCCTCGGCAGCAATACAGTCAGCGCCCCCTGCTGGCAGAGCCAGCACAGCTCTCTTCCCTCCTAGGCCCAGGACAACGGACCCATAGAGGTGACCATGACCAGAAATGAAGGACAAGAGTCCATAGGATGTGAGAACAAAGGCTCTAAATGTCTCTTTATTTCTGTGTATTGTTCCATTGTCTTAAAATTTTGATTTGCATATTTTAAATAGTTTATACAATGGATTGTTAAAACCTACACATAAATAAATTATGCATATAAGCGTTTTAGCTTAGAAGTAAATGTGATCAAAATCAGAGATTTGGGTCAGCTGAGTGTCATAGGCAATTAAAGGAAACCTTACTTTGTGAAGTAAATATTTCCATGATTCAAAAAAAAAATCACAGCCCCTTTTCTCAATTCTTTCTTACCAATCTGCAGTTGTTTTGCATAATTGATTATTAGATAATTGATATTTAATCTACCACTATCTATAGAAGCTTGCTGAAGTTATATTGAAAATAAGAATTAAGATAATAGAGTCGGGATTTTTGTTGTTGTTGTTGTTGTTGTTGTTAGTGGTGGTGGTTTGTTTTTGCTTTTAGACCCAGACTAGCTCACACTTAGTATGTGGCCAAGCATAGCCCCAAAGTCTTGACCCTCCCCAGGGTTGGGGTCACAGCGTGGGCCATCATGCCCAGTTGGATACATTATGCCTAGTGCTTATAATTGGTTATAAGAGTAAGCTCTAATGCTATGTGTATTTTTCCTTCAAGGAGGCCATACTGGAAGAGCAAGAAAAGAAAAAAAACAAAAATATGTAAGTATTAATATGCCCATTTATTAATTTTTGCCTCATTTTGGTACAAAAATTATCAAGTTGTCCATATCTTATTTTCATAATTGTTACACAGCTACTCTTTCCTCTTGATGCCAATCTCCTTAGTAATATGACCTGGGGGAATCTCATTTCCTTTTCCACATCAGTCTTTGGGAGTACTTTCTCCTGCAGAACCTGCTGAAACTGGATGGGAGGTCTGAAACGGATGAGTTTCCTATTCTTTGACTTATATAATAAAATTACTGATTTTAGTAATAATTTCTAGCTGAGGAAGTAAAGGAAACACATGAGTACAGTTAGAACTAATTTATTTAGAAACAAATATCTGAGTTCCTAAGATACAAGGGACATCCCATTCATACCCATAGCCTTCAGAGATGACCTCCTGGGGGCCAGGTTTGTCCTGAGATCTTTAAACTGAGACCCAGTGGAATAACAGGGTGCTGCTATGAAGGGGCGGTGGCCCTGTCCTCCTTAACACAGGCATGCCCACCTGCCTCATGTCCTCATTGAATTTATAGTCCTTCTCTTCAGCTAAATATGTGTCTACTGGCTACTGGGAATGATGGGAGCAGGGGCAGAGAGAGGAAGAACTGGACACAGGCAGCTGGGAAGGATATGTTCTAGCCCTTCCTTACATAAACCCCAGTGACCCAGAAAGCTAGCTCACAACCTTTTTGAGCTACATTTCCTCTCCAGTGAAATGACAGGATAGGTCTCATCAGGCCTCTCAGAGGCTAGAGAACAAGCCCACCATAGTCATCCACAGTCCCCGAAAGCAACAACATCAGTTCAGATGAACATCCCTGGCAGTGGGATGCACAGTCTGTGTCTTTAGCATATCTAATCAAATGATTTAAATGATCCCTGGAATTCGAAAATGGTAGCCACCTTTAAGTTTATTCTAGATCCAAGAGGTCATTACTGGTGACCAAGGAGAAACAAGTTTTCTCATTCTTCTTCCACAAACCCTCTTCCTCATTCTGTTGCTCAGAGGAAGACATGTAACTGGTACTCTGGACCAGGGGAGATGCATAGGAAGAGGAAACTATCATTTGGCCACTTCAGTCAAGGCCCAGCTTGCTTTTAATCATCAGGAAGGGTGCCAGGGGCTTGGCCATGGGGAGCCAGGCTTTGTATCCCCTGCTACATTCCTCCTAACTGGTGCCTAGTGGGTAGTATGATCCTGGTATTGATAACTGTGTGCTCTAGAGACAGGAGGATGACATTGATGGACCTAGCTCTCTAAGTGTCTTCTACCCCAGTGCTTCACAGTTCAGGGTCTATGGTGTTTCCCTTCTAGAGCGGGGAATAACCATGTTATCTAGCATGTTGTGTTTTCCTTTTTAACCTGAAAGATATCATTCACCATCTCATTTAGGAACCAGTTTCTTTTTATGCCAATGAAGGACAAAAATGTTCATAAAAGGAAATATCTTGACCTATCCAAGCTCCCCTGTAGTAGGACTTAGGGAGGAGTGGTTCAATTCTGTGTGCCCCTTCAAATCATCTTTCTCCAGGCAGAGCTGTGCAAGCTTGCTTGTACCTAGGCTAACTAGCCCACCACTGCCCTGGGAAGTACTCAATAGGGTCCTGGTCCACACTCATGTACTGTTAACCACAACATAAGTATGCCATGGGAATTAGCACCCATAGACTCCCCCGGGGCTCATGGTATGGAAAGATGGGTGGGTCCACCAACTGTCATCTGAAAGATGAGGCCATTCTTTCTCCTCTCCCCATTCTGCTTCTGTTGGAAGCTTTATGTGGAACACTGTGTGCTTCACAGGACTCGTGTGTGTGTGTGTGTGTGTGTGTGTGTGTGTGTGTGTAGAGTAATGCACACATTGTTTATTGTAGATGTAAATATAAATGTTTGCATGGATGCCAAAGTATATGTTGAGCATTTTTTTCTTAATGCCTTTCTACCTTTATAGTTTGAGACAGGTTCTCTCACTGAACCCAAAGCTCATCAGTTTGACTAGACTTGCTGGTCAATAAGTTTCAGGGTTTGGCCTATCTCTGCCTCTCCGAAACCAAGTACTGGGGTTATATGTACACTCCACTTTGCCTGGCATATATTAAATGTTGCCTCTCAGAATCTGAACTCAGGTCCTCGTGCCTGCATTGCCAGCACTTCACAACTGAATCATTTCTCCAGCACTGTAGGACTTCAATCTTAAGCAACAAACACCAAACTAAAACCTACATACTTATATCCTGAAACCAATGTTTGATGGTTTCTTAGTTCCAAGCTGCTGTCTGGCCAAATTTACAACTCTGTTGATCTCTCAAAAAGGTGGAACTTGGCAGCAGAGGAGGCAAAGAGGTCCCCAGCAGGGAAAAGGCCCCTTTCTTCAAGTTCTGCCATCTACATCCAGGTACTGCTTCTCTCTGCAGGGCAGTGACTGTCTGCCTGAGAATCATTGCCAACATCCTGGTGCTCCTCTCACTGGCTGGAAGCATCTACCTCATCTACTTTGTGGTGGACCGGTCCCAGAAGCTGGAGCAGTCGAAGAAGGAACTGACGCTTTGGGAAAAGAATGAGGTATCCAGCAACTAGCAGCTATGTTCTTTAAAGCAGGTGCACTTTAATGGGAATAACAACATTGCCTCCTCTCTGCTTCTTTAGTGAACCAGACTGAAATATCTCTAGAAATGAGTGCAGCCTGCTAGTTCGAGAGTAGGAACCAGGGTCTTCAGTTTCAGTGTTATCAAGTCTTGGTTAAATAACTAGGAAGATCTTAATTTAAGAACCCCTCCGGGTGCTCATACTGATCCTTGTGGTTCAGTTTTGCCATGCTCACATCTGTTCCTTTGCACCCATCCTTAGGCACGAGCTCCATCCACAGACCTGCATCAGTGACTGTACTGACCCACTGTATGTGCTTCCATCCAACACTTAGGTAGTTTTCAGAACCAGCCACACAGACTGCTTGTCTATTAAACAACCTACTCATAAATAAAAAATTACCAAGTAGGAGATTAGGAAGAATTTTGTAGTTTCTAATAATTGCTACTGTTGTCCTGAATGTTTGGCTCAATTTACCTGCCAAAATTTGAAAGACAAAAATAACTTCATGTTTCATATTACTCTGATAAAAATCACTTCCCTTTCAAAAGCAGTTAGATGGGCATACATCTATCCAGTATGTGTTCACTTATGCTCAATCATTTCCTAGAATCTGAGATTATACCAGGTAGTTTTTCTCACATCTCCTTGCATTTTATACAAGTTACATGGGTTAAGTAAATTTGTACCTTTTTGCACATTTATAAAATGGCCGATTTTTAAACATATGCACAGAAATTATTTCTTAATTTAGCTCAGACATTTTATGTACCAGCTTAAACTCGCCTTTCTTTTCCCTTAAGTCCAGACAAACAAGAGCCAGGCATGGTTCTCCAGATAATGAATCCCCTGTGTACAGAAGGATATTCAATTACCTCTCTGCCTTCCCCTTTCTGATCATAATAATAGCAATTATTTCCATCTTCCAACCAAGGTCAGGGAGGTATTAAATACAATAAAATAGTGATTGGTAAATGCAACAGAAATGCTACCAAGGCCCAGACAGCACATGTAAGTATCCTCATGACCCTAACAGAGAGTTCCAGAAAGTAACAAACCCATGATGGAGTGGTGGTAGCCTGAAAAGGAATAACTCCAAGAGAGTTGGGGAGGTTTCTAAACAAGGACTCAGTGTCCCTGTTAACTACCATTCACATTGACAGGTGGACAAATACAAAACCAAATGTGGCTAAGACAGCAAAGATGAGGGACTTGAGGAGCCTATGCTCTCTCCATAGGTAAGCGTGGTAGTCTCCCTTGTCACCATGCTAGCACCGTCTGCCTTTGACCTCATCGCTGCCTTGGAGATGTACCATCCACGGACGACACTGCGCTTCCAGTTAGCAAGGTAGAGCATCCTGGTGGGAAGAGCCCCAAGATTCCTCACCCATCAGCCGCCCACATAGGGACTGAATCACTGCAGAGCTAAGGCATGCTGCTGCTTCTCCACACTTAGCATAGAGCTTCTCCTAGAGATGTTGCTCAAGGAAAGCTGGGGGCAGTAGGAATGAAAGGAGCAGAGTCAGAGCAGGAGGGAACAGAATAGTGCCGATAACACAGCTGGAATTATAGTAAGTGCGGAAGAGGAAGCAGAGAAAGAAGAGGATGAGGGGCAGGGAGGAAGAGGGAGACGCAGGCAGGAAAAGCAGACACAAATGAGCAGCAAGATGATGGAATACATGTCTTGTTTTCCTCATGATTGAATTCCCTCTGTGGATTGACTGAGTGGTGACATAGACCCTCACTGTTTGCCAGACATGAGGGAGACAGCTAGTGTTCCGATAATAAAGCTGAATGATAGTATGGGCTGTACCAAGACAGCCAATAGTTACCACAGTAGATGTCATAAACTGATGTGACCTGGGAAGACTGTGTCCAAGGGAACATCCACGACTGCCTTCTTGAAAGTTAGACCCACATTCATGTCTAGCAAGGGCTTTGTGGAAATCTTTCTGAAAAGCTGCTTTTCTTCCCTGAGGTTCTGTCTACTCCACTTAAACTCATGTGTTGGGAAGCGGGGAGCATGGTATAGGAGGTATCAGAGGCCTGATCAGTCACTCCCTACCCTGTCTGCACTGGCTTCTCTAAGTCATCTTCTGTGACACCTCATGACACTCTTTAAACCTCAGACCACTTTGAGAAGGATTGCTTCCACTCTGGAGCCAGTAAATATCTTCTGAAAAAGGCATGGCAGTCAATCTTTTAGATTCTGCCATCTATGCATATATTTCTGTCCTAACTCTAAGCTCCAAGGGAAGAACATTAAAATAGCCACAGCTGACAGGCCAAACAGAGTGCTGTCTGCCAGCACTTTATTTACTAAAATAGGTAAGGGTATTGTTTGCCTTGATGACTCCAGTTCCCTGACTCCAGAAATTCTATAGCTGTGAAGACAGAAAATCATCACTAGAAATATCAGGGAGCTGACTAAAAACCCACAGCATGGGATAGACCTGGGACAAGGCTTGGGGGCCCCCTCACCCTGATACATTCTGTTCGACTCCGCACCAATCCCGTCTGGATGAGAAGTATCTTCCTCAGATCCTTCCCTGCCCACAGGCACTGGGGAGAATCGATTCCATTATTGCATTTGGTGTAACGGCAATCCTATTACACAGATTGGTCTCGTTTTTCATACTCAAAACTACAGAAACAGAGCCACAGAGAGATGTAACCCCAGACAAATGAGGCATAATTCTGGTAATAAGAGCAAGACATATTATTTCAGTTCCATTAACTCATCAGCAGACCATGATACCTTTCATCCAAGATGCAGTGAGAGCCTGAGCAAAAGCCCAGGCTCTGCCAAGAGCTAATTGGGCCCTTCCTCCATCAGCACTGACCACATACCATTGGAGGGGCTGTGACCCACATAGGCTAAGGCAGATGCTGAGATCATCCTGGGGTGACAAATAAAGGAGCCCTTTCACAGCTTCAGAGGAAAAGCAAGTGGCAAGGGTGTCTACTTGAGAAGCTGCCTACACATGGAGTCACCTGCATGCCAGAGATAAAAGAGGCCAGTGTGGATGTGGGAGTTGTCATTTCCATGTGGAAGTATTCTCCTTAAGATAAGGAGACACATTTGCACATCACTGACCCACTGACCTAGTAAAGAATCTGCAGAGGCTGCTTTGCTTGCTCCTCTTTCTCTTCCTCTTCCTCCTCCTCCTCCTCCTCCTCCTCTGTCAGGGGCAGCCCTGCTTATACACTGAAGGCCTAAAATCAGTCATAGGCCTAAAATCAGCAATAGGCCTGACATACATGCCTGCTAGCACCAAGTCTTGGGTATCTGTGGAAAAACACTGAAACAGATAGCTGGGAGTTATTGTAAACAGGCAGCTTTGATGGAAGGCTGCCAAGCCTGGCTAGTCATAGGCCTCGTAGATAGGTAACCTTGGAGGATAGTACCAACTTAGATAAAGACAAGTGAATCATAGGTGGAGTCATAGTGATCTGTCCCCTGAACCTTCACGCAGCTGACACTGTTCTGGAAGATATCTGTACTCTCCCTGAACACCCACACTCCTGCGTCATCCCCTTCCCCACATCCTGCCTTTTTGTGTATATAACCTGTATGTGCAAAAGTAAAACTTACAATCTGATCAGATTATAGACAGGTCATCACTTCCTTGTGTCTTTGCCTGCTTCCTCCCCCCCACCCACCCCCACTCTCTTTCAGATGACCTCCCTGGACCCCTGTTTAATGCCTTGCAGGACAGGACACTCCTCCTCCTCCTCCTCCTCCTCCTCCTCCTCCTCCTCCTCTTCCTCCTCTTCCTCCTCTTCCCTCCTCCTCCTCCTCCTCCTCCTCTTCCTCCTCCTCCTCTTCTTCTTCTTCCTCCTCCTCCTCTTCTTCTTTTTAATGATGTGGCCATTTATTTTTACATATATGAGTACACTGTAGCTGTCTTCAGACACACCAAAAGAGGGCATCAGATCCCATTACAGATGGTTGTGAGCCACTATTCCTATGAAAGTCAGTTTTCTATTTCCACCTCGTGGCTCCTAAAGGTCAAAGTCCAAAGTCAGGCATGATCAACAAGTTTCTTTACCCACTGAACCTTCTCACCTGCCTTATAATCTGTGGTTTTTCAATGACAACACAAAGGATGCCCCATGCAGTGCCCGCTGTCTTATTAGCATGTCCATGATGACCTAGAACTCCCTGGTAGCTCTAGACTGCTGGTCCTATGTATGGTGTTCTTGTTTCTCAAGACAGCTTGTGGTTTTCAGGGTTCTGGTACTGTATCTAGGAAATCTCTACAGTTTGATCATTGCCCTTCTGGACAAAGTGAACAGCATGAACATTGAGGTGAGTGTCTACATGGGACCAACATTTGCCATCACTACTGAACGGCACCTGTCATAGCTGCCTAGACTGTATAGTACCTGCCATCACTCTTCAGACTGGATAGTCATCCTCCCACTACTATCCAACTTGGACAGTCACCTGCTACCACTACCTAGACTGGATAGACACCCAACATCAAGGCCTAGGTTGAACAGCCCCTGCCCCATCACTGTTCAGATTGAGCAGTCTCTTGTAATTGCTCCCCACAAAGCACCCCTATGTCAGTGTCTTCATCATCTTTGTCCTCTTTAGTGCTTGTATTTGTGTCTCGTATATCCCAAACCATACCACCATGGTCTTTTAGGGTGTGGAGAGAAATTTAAGCCCTAATAGTGCAGTTATGAGAGCCTGGGCTGCTGCCACATCTCTCTGGGCCACGCTATCTTATTTTCATTCCTCCATCAAGAAAGACTGTAACAGCGCTTCAAATGAGCACAGAAGATGAGCCAGCCATAGGCTCACCCAGAATGGTTCTGAGTATGTTCCTGTCCCAGCCCCACACTCACAGAGCAGCTTTTAATATTCATTTCAACCTGCTCAGTCTTCGAGGACACCATGAGTTGGGGGGGACTGGAAGGCACGAGGAGGAGCTTCCTGAGGGTAGTTTACTCAAAGAATACCATAAATAAAAGAGCTTGTGTGTGTGTGTGTGTGTGTGTGTGTGTGTGTGTGTGTCTGCGTGTGTGTGTGTGTGTGTGTGTGTGTGTGTGTGTGTGTCAAAGAGAACATAGAGAGCTAGGGCTTTGAAGTCACATAGACCTTGGCCCTGACTTGTGACTTATCTGCAGTCTGTCTAGGACATTAGTTTATCACCCTCTGAAGTCCAGTCTCCTTGTGAACTTGACTTAAAACTCCCTTGAGGTTGAAAAGAGATGAAAATGCCACCTAGAACCATAGAACCATAGAATCATTTCTGATATTTGTTCGGAGACAATGTGCATGTTGTGTTTTAGCTGGTGTCTTATGAGTGTGGTCACCTCCAGTCAAATGGTAAGGGGAAAGGAAGGAGAGAAGAGAGGATCAACGGGTGAGAAAAAATTGTGAGTAGAGATGGAGAAAGAGACAGAGTGGAGAGGGGAAGGGAGAAAGAGACAAGTGGAAAGAAAGAATGACCCCTCCAAAGCAAAGTGGTAGCCCCCTTCATTCGTCCAAGCTGGATTCTTAGAAACATAAATTACCTTTCTTCTTTCTTCCTTTCTCTCTCTCTCTCTCTCTCTCTCTCTCTCTCTCTCTCTCTCTCTCT